AAACAGTCTTCATTTTTCTCCTGTGAAACTATACTATAGATATTAGATATAATTTATTATATAAATTTAACAATACATCTATTATGATCTAAACTGTAAATAGTAAATATCATGAAGAGCCATCAAACTTACATCTGGTTATTTGATATTCAACAGCTGCTATGCAACCAGATGTATTTTTTACTGAAATTACACTTTTTCTTCGGGGGTAAGAAATGTTGTTTTCATATTTTTAGTAGTCTACTAAACTATGAGTTTATTTAAGTTTAAAACATTTTTAAAACATAATAAGCTTTTAACAGATTGTAAATCATCTTTACACACATGACCCAATGTTGAACTCAGTTTAGTTTTTCAGGCTGCAAAATGTTTATCAACTTTTAAACTGTGTAAAGTTTATTAAATGTCTAAGGTCTAGTTATTATTTTTGTAAAACTGTAAACTCCTCAGATTTAATGAAACATGTGGTCTGCCTGAAGGAATGCTGTATGAGGGTGTGACTGATCGACCAAGGAGAATCGTAAGTGTTTTGTTTTTATAAAATTAGTCATATAATTTATATATTTTGTTCCATTTTTCAATGTTTTGTTCCATTTTTCAATATTTTATTACTATTGAAGAACTGCAAAGTCTTATGTGTAAGCCTGGTGTTATCAAATTGATTCAGTGATAAATACACATTTAACAGGTGATCAATTCTGCTGCTTCTCAAACTACCATGTTTCAAATTATTGACAGCTTGCTTAGAACCACCTACCCTCCAGGTAAAATATCTACTTTAAATAGTTTCACCTACCCACTGACTACCCAGTAGATAAATTTTCTGCTTTAAATAGTAAATAGTACATTATACCCCAGGAACATTCTACCTATCACCAGGTATCTGCTGCTGATATACTAATTATGAATCAGTTTTATAACATGTAATTCTCTTTCCTTGTTTGTTTGTTTTTATTATTAAATATCAGTTTAAAATTTTCTAAAATTCCATAGGCAAAGAAAATTTCTTCCATGTGTTGAGGTCAACATGGTCAGCTAAACATAGAGAACTTTTCAACAAGATCAAAAACTGGCCTGGCAATTTAAAGGACATTGGTAGGTGCAACTCTTTTTTAAATGAACACAGTATTAGATTAAAAAAAATTTTAGAAGGTAATTAATTCATATATTTTTTGCCGGTATTGTTAAATTTGAACTTCAACCAATCCCCACTGCCAGCATTTTTCAAAAAGTTTTTTGCTTTTGTTTAATATCCAGCTGTTGGGTCAGACTTGCCGGTCTACCAGGATAAATCTTAGTGGGCCCCCCAGGTAAAAAAAAATCCTGGTGGGCCCCCAGGAAAGATGCTGTGCTAGGCTTTTTTGTGCTTTGATTTTTTAAAATTAACTTAACATGTTAATTTCCATCAAGCTGAGACTGACCATCACCCTCTCATATGGAAAAATCCACAACGTAACTTGTAATCCGGGGTTTGTAGCCCCTTTTACGATCCCCCTGGCCTCTTGTACGCAGCCATCCACCTCTGTCCAGCTGTGTAGAACTTTAAAAAGCCAAATTGGCTTAAATTACATTAATATTTTTATTAGTTTTATTTTATTAATTGTTAATATTTTTTCAACTATTCAATGATTTAGTCATACAGAGTTCAAATCCAGAACTGACACTTGCGTACAATGAAGTTGTTGAATCTGTCAAACAATTTAGGAATTACCATCTTCAGCTTGTGACCAAGTAATTCTTCACATTTATTTCATTACTGACTAGCAGTAGGCCTTCTGTCTACATACCAACACTGCTTATAAAGCTGTTTAAATATTTTGTTAAATTACCATAGCATCTCATCATCTTTTCCCACACCCTAGACACATGGATCAAATTAATTAGAGTTCATCTGTTTCAATGGCCTAGGCATTTAAACGGACAGTGTGATCAGCTCTAGGCACAGTCACCTTTGTTTCCCCAACATGAGTCAGGTACCCATTAGAGCTGGGTGGACTCAGGGACATATTGTAGTCAGAAGTCCAAGATGAGATCTGAAATCAAGACTTTTGGACTAGCAGCTGAACAAATGAATTACATAATTTTCTTTAAAATATTTCCTTAAAATATTTCCTTAGAAGTTAGATCTGCTGGTTTAACAAGTCCTTAGATTTACTGTTTAAACATTTTCTAGGATTAACATTTCCTTAAATATTACTATTCAAACATTTCCTTAGATTTACTGTGATACCCAACAAGAGAGTGAGGAATGAACACAACGCTGAAGGTCCTGATCCATTTGCTTGTAAGTTTTTTGTGGCACTTAAAGCTACTAATTGAAGTAATTGGTTTAATTTTTGTCCATCCACTGTTGCATGACTTCATAATCAAAACTTTTTTTTTCTAAAACTTATACATCTGTGATACTACATTTAGAAACCTTAATTTCTTTTAAGGAACACATTTAAAATTATTTAAAAAAAAAACTAAAAAAATTTCAGAAGTTTAGAATCATAAAACTGTTGTATATTTTTTTCTATTTCAGATTTAATGCCCTTGTTAAAAGGTATCAGAGATGAGTCAGCTAAAAGTGTTGTTGAAAGCTGAAGATAAAACTTTCAAACACTGAAATTAAAGTCAGTCTGCAAGGAATTTTGTTGTGACATGCAATTATTTTTTATTTCTATTATGTTTAGCGATCTGTGAAAATTAATTTTATGATGTTCAAGCAATTATGTACATTGAAAAAATGATTTATAAGACTCAGAACTTTTAATAACACCTAATAGTGGTTTGAAATTAATCCACAAAAAGGGCTTTACCCTCTGTTGTTGTATTCAATATTGGAACAAAATGAACCATACAAATGTATACAGCTCAGAAAACAGAACAGAGTGAAAAACTGCAGGCCAATATGTCCTCAATAGTTCTACTGGATGTTACTTTTTATAAGCTGTAATATAGGTCTATTAAGATTTGTATATTTGCATGTTTTAAAATTTTTAACTATACATTATATAACATTCTATTTTTTTAATGAAATAAACTTTTTATCTGATCATTTTATTTTTAATATTATAAATCATATGTAGGGCCTAAATGAAACTTATATTATTCATTCATTTTAGCTCACTTCTACCTTCCAATCAAAATATAAAACAATGTATAAATCAATCAACTTTTAATAAAAGACAATGTATCATGGAGGGTGACAATCACAAATCAGTGGCTTCACCAGCTACAGGGATGATAAAAAAGTTGGAAAGGAAACTAGAGCTGAAACAATACAATGTTTTGTGCTGACAGGGAACACAGTTGTGTGTGTATGGGGGGAGGGAGGGGGGGGGGGGGATAGAGTTTGACCATCAACCACTTAAGTGTTGCCAGCCAAATATTGAACAATATCAAGGATAAAAAAAATGTAGGGCTAAACCTGCACCTACATTAATATTTGGAAAAATTGGAGGAAAAAAAAGGGTCTATAAATACTTCTAGGACATCATATATGTTTTGTTAAAACTATTTTTCAATTATAAAAGCTATTCAGACCTTAAGTTTATACAGTTCCAAACTTTACAGTGTCAGAAATTAGTCCTAGTGTTGTGATCTACAAGTACATTCAACATGATGTTTTTTGTTTGCATTATTCAAACAAGCTCATTTTTTAAAAATATCTTACGTTAACATTAAAAAGTTTATATAATTTTTGAACTTAATTAATTTCATTACTGTACAATACAAGTTTTTGCTTAAAATAAAAGATCAATAAATCATTAAAGTAATTAGGAAATACACTTGGAAGCTCAGGAATAGGTGAGTAAACACAAGAATCAACAAGAGCTCTTCAATTAAAGGAGAGTTAAATTCATGACATTGTGTACATATTGAATGAGGTTCTGATGGAGAAGTGGGTGTCGAACAAACAAGTGGATGAATGGTTGCTAGGTGACAACAATGGCATTTCTAAGTGAACCTTATAGTGGCAACACTGACATTTCTAAATAAATTATATGGTGGCAACACTGACATTTCTAAATAAATTATATGGTCGCAACACTGACATTTCTAAATAAATTATATGGTGGCGACACTGACATTTCTAAATAAATTATATGGTGGCAACACTGACATTTCTAAATAAATTATATGGTCGCAACACTGACATTTCTAAATAAATTATATGGTGGCGACACTGACGATTCTAAATGAATTATTTGGTAGCAACACTGACACTTTTAAGTGCGTCATATAGTGGCGACAGTTCTATATAAATTGTATGCTGCGTCAGTGACAAAGTTAAATCAATATAATTTTTTTAGCATTTTTAACTGTCTAAATCGAGACACATTTACACCAATATCCTTTTCTTAGCATTTTTAATTATCTAAATCTTTAGTGGCATGATTAAATAACTAATCATAATATTAATATTCTAACCTGGATTTATTCTTTATGGTATCATGTCTAAGTGATGTGGCACCAGAATTTACTTTTTGGAAAAAGTTTGAGGTTTGTTTGAATGTGTTAGTAGCACTAACTTTGGCACAATAGCTTCAGGACCTTTTTTTATGTGGAGGTCCAGGTAATTCTAGGTAACAATACACACCTGAATGGGATTTTGGTCTCTTTTAAATATATTCCTGGTCCCAAATAGGTGCTCAACATTTCTACTAGCCATACAATCTATGTAGCGTAGAAAATATGATGTAGCTTAAAAAATATGATAGCGTAGAAAATATGATCTCATCCTGCTTCTATACACAGTCAAGTTTCAATTGTTCTTTTACTTACAGTAAATATAATTTAAAAAACAAACAAAAGGTGAATGGAATAATCTGGGAACAGCTACAAATAGATTGTAGTTTTTAATGAATGTTAAATTCATATGCAGGAAATTATTTTAAAATGTATAAAATTCAGTCTCAATGTGAACTGTTGGTAGCTTAATGTTGAATTGATTATTTAATGTTGAATATGTGACATTACTTTCAAAAGCAACAATTATGGATGATATTCTAATACACATGGAATTTTCTTTGAACAGAAGAATAAAATACTATTGCTGCCAAAAAATCCAACCAAAAAGGTGGTGATACATTCCTCAACAAACTAAAACTTATAAAATTGTGGGTACATAGTAACATGAAGTTGATGAAAGAGATGGAACTTTGCTAAAATGATTTGTCTGATGCAGAAATAACTCCCTTTGTCCATTGTTTTCACAACTTAGTCACAGTTACAATTGGAATATTGTGGAATAGCCAGTACAATAGCCACTTTGTGTACAGGTAAAAAAAAAGTTTATATAAAATAGAATGGGAGTTAAGTTGGGCCATTGTCATAGAAATCTAAAAAAAAATTATGCTAATTCTATTAGCAACATTTCAAATCAATATAAGAATAATTATTAAAACACACCAGAGATCAGCATACACTTCACTCACTATCATTTTAAACCAATGTAATGATGTTTACATCTTGTTTAACATTAATGAAGAAAGAATTTTCAAACACAACTGAAACAACAACAACCTCCATGTTATAAGGAGTCCAGTGTTAAAGAATTAGAAGTGAATTGAGTTGAACTACTAGAACATTGAGTGATGTTTAATGTTAACAGATTAAATTTTGTTTTAGATCTCCATTGACACAAAAAAAGTTATCAGTTTTTAATTATGTCTTTACATTTTGTGATGACAATAAGATTTATTAATTTACACCTCAAGCTAATACAGAGACTTCAATTTAAAACAAACAAAAAAAATCAGCTTAAAGGCTTATTTATAAAGTGTTTTTGTAATAGTAGCCATTGAAATAAAAACTTGCCCTAGTGAAGCATAAATGTGTTTACGAATTCACCTATCACAATTTGTCACATTGTGAGATTTAAAAAAGTGTGTTATCTAAATAAATATTGATACAGATGTTTCACATTTAAAGCAACTAAACAGGACAGTAAGCCTGAGTATTCACATAATCAGAACAAAGTCTAGAGACCTTATAATGTGTAGCTTTTACATTACTTTCAACCATTTCTGCATTTACAAAATACAGCACATTAATTTTTCTTTTAAAATCATTCATTTTTATTATATGGTCTGATATTATTAACACTTCCATTTAAAATGTACTTAAATATTAGCCACATAAATAAAATAAACTATGGACAATCTTTCCAGTTAACTTTTTTTCAAAGAAAATAAAAAACATTTCAAGAAGAGTATGTTGACTGTGTCTTTTTTAAAAGGTTTTTAGATAGTACAAACAATCAACTACACTGACCACGGCTGGTAGCAGATCTGTTTAAGAGACTAAAACTTAAGATTCTAAAAAATTTATCTTAACATTTGTGATAAATAATATATTTGTGAGATACATTAGAATAAATACAGGATATATTAGAAGACACCCATATATACACTTTCACAGCCTGATAAGCAGAAGTACCCGCATAACACAGCAACCCTTCTCAACCCAACACACCAACCCTTCACATATCAACACACCAACCCAACACAGCAACCCTTCTCAACCCAACACACCAACCCTTCACATATCAACACACCAACCCAACACAGCAACCCTTCTCAACCCAACACACCAATCCTTCACATGTCAACACACCAATCCTTCACATGTCAACACAACACATCAATCCTTCACATCTTAACACAGCAACCCTTGTATGACATGCAGAGCTTTGTGATACATTTATATGGTAATACATTTGTATGGTGATACATTTGTATGGTGATACATTTGTATGATAGATTTGTATTACACATTTAGTATCATAATACAATTGTGTGATACCTTTGTCTATGATACATTACTATGATTAATTAGTATACTAATACATTTGTGTGATAATTTCTTCAGATGATAGATTTGTATGATAGATTTGTATGATACATGTGTACAAGTTAACAACTTTTCAACAAGTACTGGCACAATCAGCTGAATCAGCAACAAATCACAGGCCAAAAATAAACGATGGCCTTGTTGCAATGACCTTGTCGACCTACAGAAACAAACATTTGGAAAGCTTATACAGATCACATCTAGGCTGTATTATTTAAACAAGTCGTGTGGACGTCCCAACATTTGTATTCAACAAGCTAACAGACATACCAAACTGTGTTTTCAACACAAACAATCTCAGTGTGTGAACAAGCATTAGGCTACATGCTATTGAGGGTGAACACAGAATGTCTAAATGACATTGCACTCAGTCTTAGTGTCAACATGTTGCAAAGTTCAACATTTTTGAAAACTTATGTACAGAGTTTTAGAAGGTGTTAACACAAGGTGGATTACAACATGGCTAGAAGTGGAATTCAGGGGAGATAACTCACTGCTTGAAGAGCTCTACACTAGTTTGGGGGGTGGGTGCTATCTTGTTTTCCCCTTGCCTTTCTTCCACTTCTTTATCATCTCATACATGACGTCCATTGCTTCGGTCAACCCCTCACCAGTGACAGCACATGACGGCAGCAACTGGCAGACGTGGGACGACGACAGTTCCTGGACCCCCAGAGCTTTGGCCACCTCCTCCGGGGCCATGGCCGCGGGCAGGTCTTGCTTGTTGGCCACCACCAGGGTGGGGACGTTCTGCGGGTTCTGGGTCTTGACCAGTTTCATCAGCTCCATCCGGGCCTCCTCCGACCCCTCCCTGTCGCTGCTGTCCACCACAAACAGGATCCCATTGGCTGACCGCAGGTAGGACTTCCACAGGGGCCTCATGTTGTCCTTGCCCCCAATGTCCCATATGGAGAAGGTCACGCCCCTGGCCTTGCCCTCCTGAACCTCGACCTTCTCGCAGTTGAAGCCGATGGTTGGGATGGTGCTGGTGTACTGGCCAAACTTGAGCCTGTAGAGCAGCGTTGTTTTACCAGTCCCCTCTAGGCCAACCATTACAATTTGTATTGATGGGCTCCCACCCATTACCTACATTCTAAAACTATGGCCATCAGGAAAACTAATCCAAAACTTTCATTTAAATCCAGTTCTTAAAGATCAACTACCACACTTAAACACAAGACAAGTATTAAAGAAAAGTTAACACACTAAAACGTGTATCCAGCAATGAAATTCTATATGTTCGGCACCTTCATGTATTTTTAATTAATCTCGTATAATCCAGTATTTTGTTCAGAAAAATCTCACAACTTTTTTAACACTCATCACAGACGGCAATAAAACTAATCTCTGGTTTTTATCCTAGAATATCAGCTCCTTCCAGTGTTGATTTTTCTTTTATCCTACAAACACAGCTAGACAGAGCCTTTAATCTCGTGGAATCTGGGCTGGCTGTCGTCCTTTCAATCAAGGAAGATCTTTGTAGATCAATGTCTTATAACAAGGAAGATCTGTGTAGATCAATGTCTTAGAACAGATCGCCAGTGAAGAACATGAAAGGATTCAAATAAATATTCCAGATGCAATGAAATCCTTTGACGGACACAACTTGGTTATCACAAATCAGATGTCACAAGTTGTGACACATCAGCTGTCAGGCACTAGTCAGCTGAACTAAGTTGTGACAGAACACACCTCAGCTGTCACAAGACCACTGACACCAGAATGAACGAACTAACGAAGGAGTCAGGGCACTTAAAGCTAATCAATTACTGTAGACCAGGACGTGCTTCCTCCTGCCCTGTCGTCCTCAGACTTCCTCTAACACCAGACCCTCGCGTCCTCAGACTAACTGGTCTAACACCAGGCCCTCATGTCCGCCACTAACTCCACCAATTTTGTTCCCACCGAGACACAACACCAGGAGAGGAGGGTGAGCAAGAAAAACACAACAGACACCAACACCCCTCTCACAAGCCTTCTGATGGATTTTCGTATTATTTCTTTCCCTCTTTTTTCCCCTATTTTGGCTGGAATTTCTTTCAATGCCGTATGATGATATTAGGAGCTCCAGCAGGGGGGTTGGGCTGAGATCGATATCCTTTAGACAGGCGCTGGCTGTTGCTCCAGTGGAGGCGCCGTGAAGAGGTGGCCGAATTTAGCAAGCCCCCCTGGACACGAGGGGGCAATGGAACTCAGCTTATACGATTTTTTATGACATTTTAATATGATCCTAATGACGATTGGACGAGCCAGTCACGTGAGCCGCGCTAAGATCGTGACAGGCGGCTATGACGTCACATGATGTAGATAGAAGCCTAATCAGGGCCTGCGTCTCTTGAGTTTTATGTTCAGCGGGGGGGGGGGGGGGGGGGGGGGGCTGAGAAATTATCAAATTATCTCCAAAATGATGAGCGTAAATCTATTTTATAGCAGGGAGGGTGGGGGTGTCTTTGATGAGGTGAGGGGATTTCTTATAACGAGGTGGGTAGAGAGCTCTTCACCGCGTGATACGTTTTTTTAATCAAAAAGATGAAGAGTTGAGTAAATCTGCCGGCTTGAGTTTTGTAGTGAGTGGCTCATCATTTTTTGATGAGGCTGTGTCATTTCCTCATGTCATCCGATGATCAGACAGTGTCATTTCTATCTGTTGATGAAAGAAAAGAAAAACATTAAACCAAGTAACATCGCCATTAAAGGAAAGAAGCGTGTAACGTTTCGTTAAATTTTACCAGCACTGACGTACGTATAGAAACCTGAATCGGCAACGAATAAGAGAACTGTCATGTTACGTTTAAAATCAGGCGATACAAACGATACCGGGAAATGGCGGCCGCCGTCTTTCATAAAATAATATCGATATTTCTCAAGACGAGATTGTAGTTCTAGGGAAAACTGTATAATCAGAAAGTGGTAGGAAATTTAAGATGTAAAACACTAAAGTGTCGTCTTCATCTTGAACCAAGAACAAGGAACAGAGTCAAAAGTTAGGTTACTGTTTCACCCATAGCGTTAGACCCGTATAATTTATGATCAAAGCTTGTTACATTGTAGAGGTAGGTTACTGTATTACCTATAAGGTTAAACCGTTATGAACAACGGTCGTAGGTTACATTGTATAGGTAGGTTACTGTATTACCTATAGGGTTAAACCAGTATAACTAACGGTCGTAATAGCTAAACGCCTCCCGTGAAACCAGTATTCATATAATTTATTACTTCTTCATGTCCAATCACACTGGTATGTGTATGTATGGCAAGCCTAGGCAATAAGTCACGTCACATTTCTACCCCTCCCCTCCCCCAGTGACGTATGATTACACTGGCAAGCTGTCAGGTGAACTGATTATTTTAGACCGGACAGGCGACACTAGGCTGACAGCTGTTGACCGTCACGACTGATCATCACAGCTGACCATCACACGTCCTTACAGCTGTTGACCATCACACGCCCCAGTTTGATCAACCCTGGGCGTGTCGTGAAGCTCTTCTGGTGTAGATTTCACAAACACAATGCACTCATTAGCTTAATATTAAATTCATCAAGCTCAGAGGTTCTTTCACTTATTTGTCCCCGGAGGGACGGGGTATAGGGCTTTTGAAACTTCTACCCCCACCTGAAGAAATGCATGAAAGAAACACGAATCAAGTCAGTGCGCGAGTAACTACAAAGTTATGTTGATAGATCTACAAGGTCCGTTTTTTTTTTTTTTTGGTGGAGGATTTCGCAATAGGGGGTACAGATTCCAGGCTTTGTATCCGAATATAAACATGACAACAGTTAAGAGACAGCCACCAACTACATTTGATACATGTACGATGTGTTCTTTAACATTCAGTGTAAATGTATATTTTTTCCACCCCCACCCCCCTCCCCTTCTAAGCCAGCATTCTTACACTACCATCTCAGCAGGCTTTAAATTACCACAGCGAGATGCTATAAATAGACCTGTTGTCAGATCCTCGTTAAGTTCCCGGCCTCAAGGCCAGTCTCTAGAGTTAGCCTCTAATGGTGGTGGGGGGGGGGGGGGGGGAGCTAGTTGGGCTCTGAACTGCTCTGTAGAGGCGGGCTCTAAAGTTGACCTTTGAGATGGCCAGGCTAAAGAGATGGCCTGTAGTACGGAGTTAGATTGTACTTACTTCCACAGCGGACCATAAGACGATATTCTAAATGCGATGGCTCAGGCAAAAGGTGACTAAGTGCGACATGTCAGTCAGGCCGCTGTGTGACGGTGTCATACAGTCGACTAGCCCTAACTTTACATTATCACCACGATTACTTTACCCCTTAGAATAAATCTTCCCTAAAATAACCTCGAACATAACTAGAGATGTCTAATTCTCCCCCTTGTTGTACTAGAATGAAGTCTGATTGGTTCAAGTCATCGAGAAAAGGCGGGTGATTGAATACGGGTAATGTCGAAATGATGTTCGTCATCGATCTAATGGGGCAAATAGTACAATCGTTCACCCACGTCATGCTATCTCTGACGTCAAAAAACAGGAGTTGGTGACAGCTTATTTATACAAAAATGGAGGGAGGTGTGGGGGTGGGCGTGGAGGGAAGCTGGTGACAGCTTATTAATGGAAGACGGGGTGGTGGTTTAGGCCCTAGGGAGGAGTATGGAGGAGAGGTTGGGTACAGGGGTGTGGGGGTTGGTGACAGTTTATTTATGGAAGGCGCGGGGTGGGGGTTCCATTGTTGACAGTTCCCTGGTTACAATCCAACCGTCTCTGGGAATCTGGGTCAGTGTTGTCAAGCGCGGGCCGACAGTGTACGGTGTAAAGGGGACTTCTCTTTTGTCTGATGGTGGGGGGGGGGGGGGGGGGGGGGGGGTAATAACGGAAAGTAGAGGCAGAGGGGAAAGCAAGGCAATAACGAATGAACAAACAGTTGAGGATTATCGGACTAGGCTGGACTATCCAAGTTTAGAAACTAGGCCAGTCGGCTCTATCTTAACTGTCTTCTGATGGCTTTTGGTACAATTAGTAACCAGGTGAAAGTTAAGTTACAACAAACGACAGCCTTAATCAGGCAATTTACTGGAGGGCTTGCTCGTTAATTAATTAAATAATATAATAAACTATCCGAGCATGCATCCCTACAACATTTTGGTATATCCTAAACTATCCCATCCATGCCCCACACCCCCAGATAAAAAGTAAACGAATAGAGCATCAGGCTGGTGTGTTGTGTCAGTCGCGATGTCTCGTATTTGAAAGTTGCAAACAACTGTGTGGCCAGAACAAAATGGGCGACGGTCTAAATATAGAAACAGCCGCGTGTTGTACAAGAACTAACAATAGATGGCAACATTTGAGGGCTCGCGACCGTCTTTGGTTTAGTGTAACCACATGTGTTACCATAGGAGCATTTCGTTACCAACCCAGTTACCACATGTGTTACCACAGGAGCATATCGTTACCAGTTACCACATGTGTTACTACACAGTTACCATAGGACCAAACCAGTTACCACATGTGTTACCACACAGTAACCACAGGACCACACCAATAACCACGGCACGATATAGAAAAACAAACTCGAACTTTCTAATACAGTGGTTCCCAACCTTTTTCGAGTGGCGACCCCCTTTTATAAAAAGTAAGTGACCGCGACCCCCATAGAATTAAAAAGCTAAAATTAGTATGGAAATTAATAAACACTAAAATAAGATTTTCTAGTAGACTTTCAATATGAACTACTCTTGCTAACTATTTTAATAGCATGAGTAAAAGTGCATACTATTCACTAAACCTTCGTGGTTAAGTTTTTAATTTTTTTAAAATTTTGCTAACGCCAACCTATGTCATTATAATTATCTTAATTTTGTTTTTAACCGAAGAATAGTGTTGAAAATATATTCTCGAAAAGTCAATCAATTTTACGTTTGGGTATGAATGGTGAATACTACACCAAAATTGTGTCTGTAGTTTTTCATCTTACTCGGAATCATTCTTCAAATCAAAGAATTCATCTTGTAATTCATCGGGAATGCTGGCAACATCAAGGGAAGAAGAGAATGGGTAATGCGTAAATGCAGATTCTTCTTTTTTCAGCTCAGAGAAATAGCGATGCAGTTCGTTTGCAAGAGATTCAAGATGCCCAGAAATCGCTTCTTTCAAAATTTTAATTATCTCACAATCAGATTCATCTACCACACTGCAGAGTTTCTCAAATTTACAATATTTCCAAGATTTATTTTCTTTACCGATTTTGCAGCTTTGATAAAAATGTCCCGAGATTATCATGGAAAGTTGTAATATTCGTTCATTTTCACTGAAGCTTCAGAATCAGGTTAAGCTTATCTTGATGTTCGAACACATCTGCTAGGTATGATACTCTCTCCAACCACTCTATGTCGTTTTAAGTATGCCAAAAAGTCTTTGGCTCCTTTGCACTTCCAAGAACAATTTGATTTCAGATTTCATTTAAAAAACACGATTCACAACATTTCGCTTGACAGCCAGCGCACTATAGTGTAGAAGAGCAGAACCTTGTGATCTATATTAATGTTTTTGCTCAGTTTTGAAGGCTCCAGATTTTATATAATTTACGACTTATAGTAGCAATGGACTCTTGATGTCGATTGGTTAGGGCAGTGGTTAGGGAGCTAAATCTTTTCTGTTTTCTGAAAGCCCGATTTTAAGCTAAACATAGATGGCGCGCCATCCGTACAAACCCCCACAGCCGTTCTAACCCATTTTAATCATCCAATTTCAAAAAAAGGTATTTATTTTCTCCATGCTATCTTCACAAAAGAGCAACTCTTCTTTGCTATCATTCGCATGAATATAGACACAGACCAGCAACTGCGAACACGAAATCACGTCTGTTGATTTATCAACTTGAAAAGCAAACAATGGTGAAAGATTAATTTCGATAAAAATGTGTTATTTAACATTTACGTACATGCAGCGTTTGATGAGATTTTCTCCTATTGTTTTTTTTTTTTTTTTGCTTGGCATTGTCTATCGCGACTTCATTTGATGCTTGCACTAATGCTGGTGAAAACTTCCTAATCGATCAAGTCTCTGGCGTTTGCAACTAGCTTCTTACCGACGAAAGAACTCCATATATTTTTGGTGTGTTCCGAATGACTTGTCTCAAATGGCGTTTTAGTTTTGAAGATTTCATAGATTCGTGACTGAGAACAACTTTGTACAGTGCGCTTTGTTTCTTCTCTATTACATTTCCAGTGATGTTAATGAAGCCGAATTTCAAAAATTATTCTACTAAATATTTATGTTTTGTTTCAAATTACTAAGGTTTAGTATACCAGTTGGCGACCCCCCAGAAAGACCTTCGCGACCCCCAGGGGGGTCGCGACCCCCAGGTTGGGAACCCGTGTTCT